TAGTTATGTCATTCTAAAATGAGGCACATTGAAAACCAGGGTCGAGGCCTTCCCCACCGTGGGCCAGCATATGCTGAGTGGGGTCCCATTGCGATGGCCATCGCTGTTGTCACAGGGTGGCACTGCTTAGTTCACTTTTTATTTCCTAAAATGTGCTATTTCTGTCTTTTTTTTCTGTATACCTTCTTTGTCCTTAACTGATGTTCATCGTAATAAATGTTTCATTCTTTCTAAATATTTGGTCATACATTAATCTATCATCCCCTTAAGTTGGCACGCTCTTTTTGGGACACCCTGTATATTTTAAATTTATGAAAAGGATATCTTTGATCTCACCAGTGCAGCTTCTTTGTAGCCAAGATCTAACAGCTTCATCATCATCATCATTTCAGCCATAGGACGTCCACTACTGAACATAGGCCTCCCCCAATGATTCCGCATCGCACTGTTGGTAGCGGCCTGCATCCAGCTTTTGTTCGTCGGTCCACCTTGTGGGTAGACGTCCCACGCTGCGTTTTCCGGTACGTGGCTTCACTCCAGAACCTTGCTGCCCCATCGGAAGTCAGCTGCGTACTATCTCATCTAACAGCTTGACCGGCAATAACTTTCAGCTATAGGCGTAGTTAATTGTATTCTGTTGGGGCGTATCAGAACGCCCAGCCTCAGATCAATAACCGAGTCCATACAAGGAATCGAACCCGCACTCCCACGGCCACTTTCACGGTAACCTTTACCAAACTAACGGTGCGCAGTGACACACATTTCTATTTTAACGTAAACGTACACCTTGGACAATGTAAAACGCTCCTTAAGCGGTAACTGTTAAGGATGCAAATGTATGCAAATAGATCTTTGTAATTCAATAGGACATCTAGACGTGAGCCACGAAAGTGAACTTTACGGTGAAGTGTTAGAGACTAATCAAATGGGTACTTTAAAAAAACGTGCATAAAAATAACAAAATACAATATCAAAGTGCGATAAACTAAAGACAAAGTCCCATTAAAGCTACTGGTAGAAACTAGAACAAATAGCATCTACGTAAGTACATCTTTAGTCAATTTCCTCATCAAATCAGGAATGTAAGTAAGAAACTATCATTTGCTATGTAACTGCCAGCTTGCATTTAGAAACCTGGTAGTCAATTTACCACCTCTGGTAGAAATACACACTCTTTTTCACACCTACCCTCTTAATCTTTTTTTTTATCCACAACGAGGAAGCTCTTGGCCTGTATCTCACCTGATGGTGATGATCAGGCCGAAGGTGGAAGCGAGCTTCACCCGGAATCCAACCACGGAGGAACTGGCTATCTTACCTCTAACTGCCGGAACACAACAATGCTGTTAACATTGTTGTTATGGCGACAGACAGGTAAGATGGTGCTAGCTAGCCAGGCGGACTTAGAACAAGCCCTACCACCAACCAAACCGAACAGAAAAATCTGACCCCACTGGGAATCGAACCCGGGACCTCTGCGTCTGAAGCAGGTGGTCTTACCACTAGACCACCGAGTTGGTTAATCTATTGTGGAAAAGACTGCTTTTCCATATAGTAGCTATGTCCACGACTTCGGAATCGTGGAAAACCCTTATCACCCAGGAGTTTACTTAGATAGTTATATCTACTGAACGCTCTTTATAAGAATCAGAAGAAAGAAGTTTTGCTACAAACTGTGACAAGAGAATCTACCTTTGATCTTTAAATTATCCTTTAATAAAAAAAAATAAGAACAAATCTTCAATCGATTAATAACAAATTGATCTTCGAACCAATACAGCCACCATTATTCAAAGACTAACGGACTTTTCGAAGCAGAAGCTAAGGGATTTGAGACTTTAGCACAATAACATTAGGTTTAATTTACCACAGCCTGGTTCTCTAGGTCAACTCACGGTCATTAAGTATTAAATATCATGATGAATGGCCAGAAGTTCTCTAAAGATCTATTCATCAATTTATTGGCCTATAAAATATCAGTAATGACTATTGTTTAGTATCGTAGTATTAAAACGGATGGTTTCCTAAGAATTCTGTGAATTTAGGGGATTTAGTACTATTTTAAACTTTTTCTATTTTATGGTGTCCAGGGAAGTTTAAATAAGTTTTAGACGATTTCGTCGTTCGTAAAATTGGAGCACTCCCATGGCTAAGTTCTCCATTTTCCTATAGGAGTGTGTCGTGCTCCTGCAATGGAGACTGTAATGATTATATTATGATTGAAAATCGAGAAACGCTGGTCATCCCAGTCGGTCCCTGGACTATTTATATGGACATTATGGTAAGCAGGGATATCACCAGGAACATTCACGCTTCAAAATCTCTCAATATTTAGAGCCGCAGGTAAAGAGCATTGCCTCCTCCACGATTTCCGGAACCTCTCCAAAAATAAAACAAAAGATCCTAACTGTCCTGCCCCAATAGGGTTGACTCTTACTAGAATTTGCTTTAGATAAAAGTAGGTACTTTATTCTATATATTCCTCAGACCCGAATTCGGTTCCTATTAAATAAAATACAGGCTGATTTTATTACTAAACGGTGTTTTATAGTTCCCAGCTTTGTTGGTGAACATGTAGTAAACTAAATAAATAACATTCGAGGATAGGTATTTACACTGATTTTACACCATGATAGTGCATCTGGCTAATTTTTTTCTTATACCAGAATCAATTTTATACTCGTAATACTGAATTAATTGTATCTGCATTTTTCACATAATTTGTTTTGGTATTTGAGTGTATGTTTATCTAGTAGTTATTAAATAATAAGCTCTGCAAAGTCTCTATTTAGCTCCTATGAGCTAGGTGACTAATAGTGAAAAAACTTTTCAGACTTGACTCGTGCTGATTGTCAGATAAGAACAGTCTCCATGCTCCAGGAGGCACGTTAAGCTAGTAGTCCCAGTAGTTGTGTACCGTATACCATGTCGGATATAGATGATAGATAGAACACACTATTGTACACCACACATAAAAAAACACATAAACTCATTTATTTTTGCAAGTACGCTTTTAAAAAGCACTTTTACACTTAATTTAAACCCAGTATTTAACTTTACCACAGTCACTGCTTTGAGAAGAAGCAGCGCAAGAAACTCGGACACTAATTGTCAGCCTCTTAAACAAAACGGAATTTCACTAAGGCGTGAAGTTAGGGCTTGCAGAGTTAGAAGTTTGAATCTAGGATAGATTTGATAACTTTTTGACAGTGCAAGCCATATTTTATATTCTCGTCGTCTTAGCAACATTTTACATGAAAATGTTTTGGTGGAATCATATTATTATCAAATTCCCCAAAATATGATATTTCTCAGCCCTATCCAATAAACGGGCGATACCTTACCATGTGTTTCCGCACAAAATCGTGTTGAATCTAAATTACTGCTCATTTACACACAATGTAAAGTTCAGAGGTACAGTCGGACACGACAGAAGCTTCTCTATACTTAAAAGCTGTCTTGGAGCTTCTGTAGGCGTCGAGACAGAGCTTTTTCATCACTTCATGCGACTTGACAGGCAGGTTCTATTTTTAGCCATTGCAAATGAAATGAGGTTCCTTTTACGTGACCAATTTAACTCAGTATCAAAATTTCATTCAGTAGTTTCCATATTTTCATGATCGATGAACTCTTTTTATTTACAAATTATTAAAATTATCAGATATTTTAACAACACACGCAAACTTAAATAAACAAAAAAAAGTCGGATATCTTTTGTCCCAAGAGTAAAAAGGTAATTTTGACATTTAACCCACACAGAAACTGTCAATAGGGCAATTTTATTCTTTAGTTAAAAGTTATAGATATTGAAAGTTCGTTGTTTTCAGACCTGACTTTAGCTTAATAGTATTTTTTATTCTGTATACCTATCAATATTAATAAGTTTGTTTATAAAGCTCAGTAGATAAAGTTAAATGCAAGAACAAAACTAAACATCTTTTAATAATATTTAGGCAGACTGTACTCGTGCAATGAGTCCAACTCGTGCGCATCACGACTGTCCGATATTGCGGTTTTGCCGCCGAATGATTGGTGCGAATTATTGTTTGAATCATAATTGCTGTGTATAATTTTTTTGTACTGTTACAGCGATCAAAACAATACAAAAAATACGGTTTATTCAAACTTAAGATATGTTCTGATAAGGATAGTTTGTATAGGATTTTCTAATAAATAAATATTTACTTAGGCCCTATTTGAAGGTCTCTTATCCAGTTATCTTTTACTCTCTTTTAAATCAACCAAAAAAGCCTGTTAGTCCAGTCAATGAATGCCTTAACGACGGTGTAGAGAGAAATCCGTGGAACACAATTTCTGACCTCGGGACTTTATTCAGCCTAGTTAGGTGGTGAACATAGCAAAAGTCCCCGCCCTTAGCCCTTGAGCCGGCGGGGAAAGGGGGGTTTAAAGGTACCACTTTTCGGTTTTTCGCTTAATCCTCGGAAACTTCGCTTAATGCGTCCTAGTGACATGACTACTATGAACCATAAAAAGCTTATTCAATTTGCTACAGGTGAGACCGTCAAGTTTTTCTATATCTTGTATAGTTTTTGCGGTTTCTGCTCTAGAAGGTCTGTAAAATTGGAAATTTTATTGTCGTCTTACACAGGGTGAAGAAACTTCCATACAACGNTTTATTCGTCCAAGCTAGGGGCCTATGTCACTGAAAAAAAAATCCCAAGTGTCCATAGGATGCAAATGGGTTGTGAAGACTCCATAAGTGACCGAGTTTAACAGATAGACCACGTTGAGGAAATTGACGATTACTATATTATGCTAATATCAGTGAGTAAATGGAACAGCACACAACAATCTTCCGACAAAATCAACAACACCGTAATATAGTTGTCAAAATTCAATTGTTTGTGTCTCTTCTTTAACAAAGGAGAAGAGGGGTCAGAGTTTAGTTTCTATATTTCTACGAGTTTTTTGTTCATGTCGTATGAATACTAGCATCAGTAAACGTAGTTCAAAGAGCTATAGCAACAAAGCTAGAATACTCACTCGATAGGCGTATACGGCCTCAGGCTAGGCCCAGACAGCTTGACAACAATTCGGTCGGCGTCACAGGCCGCCAACAATAATCTCTTGCATCTAATGTACCCGTGGATAAGTCCCGCTTCTGAGAGGTCCCACAGAGCGCGCGCTAGCATAGCGGCCACTTTCTTGAGGTGGAGTGGTTTCACTTTATCGCCGTGTTTTCTGGAAAACATTATAAATTTTAGAGGGTTTCGGTGGTGGGAAAGAACCGTTATGAAGCTACGTGTGCAGTTTTTGCAAGAAAAGTAGGTGTTTGACTACTATCATACTTAGATATTATGTGTAGATGTTTATGTATGATAGAAAGCAGTAAACGCATATTTATTCCTGGCAATATATTTATGTATGGAATTTAGAAAACTTATAATGAGAATTAAGTTTCCTATTGTAATTTTAACATCACTATCCTAATCGAACATTCCACAAATAATAATTTTTAATATTGTCAACACTTACTTTAGATAATCGTCCAGTGGCCCGTACGGCACATATTCCAGCACCAACGCGGTAGGCGAGTTAAGAGTCACCCCGTACAATCGCACCACGCAAGACGAATGCACGCACACGTATTTCGAAGCGAGCTCGATGAATTCCTGAAAATATATAAAGCATTATAACTCTATAACCATTTCTTTTACATTTGGAATATTCTATTAGGTCTTATAATCTTATTATATTCCCTTCTACCCATCTCATTCATTCACGATGTAACAACGCTATGGGCAAAGGAGATAGAGATTGACAGAGTCGATAGATCGACATCGATTTACCTTCAGAAATCAAATTCAAATTCAAATTATTTATTTGCTCAAAAAATAGGGTAAATACTTAAATCAAAACTAATCTTAAGCTTACCTTCAAATGATCGTCCCTTTGTAAAGCTTTAAATGCAACAATAAGTTTCTTAGTTTCGTCCAGATTCCAATGCGCTTTGTAAGTGACTGTTATATTGCCGGATCCCACTTTCTCTGAGCCTGTAAAACAAAACATTAACATTATAGGTCTTTAATTCAGTGCAATGAAGGTATATAAAACGAAAGGCACACAAAAAGTAAATTAGTCCAAACTCTTTCGTTCGTTTCGGGACAAAGGTCTCCCGCGAGGATTTCCACAATGACCGGTCCTGCGCCGCCCGCATACAGGCACCTCCCGCGACTAGTGTTGCAAAAAAAACCTTTTTTTTTCTGGTGTGAAAAAAAAACGTTGAAAAAAAACGGTTTTTTTTCTAGACCATGTTTTTTTTTTCAAGAGTACGAAATCCTAAACTTTTAAGACAAATACTTAAGAATACATAGGTAATAGTTTTCGGTTTATTTTTAACTCTACTATATTTTTCTGGTTCATTGGTACTAAGATTTCATGAATATATTGGCAACATTTTTACATCAACTAAAGGGAAATCCCCAAATCAATTACATTTGTACACAGAGAAATCCCCTTTAGGTTTGTTTATTTGAATGTAGTTGGCTTAGAAAGCGCAGTTGGGGTGTGCGATGGACGGAGAAAGTTCGATATCAAATTATTTAGTTTTTGTGCTATTCGAGTGTTCTTTTCGAGTGTGATTACCAACTAAAATACCTGAGTATGCTGAAACGAGTAGGTTCAGGCCTAAAATGTAAGGCAGAAAAAAAACCAAATGTAGAAAAAAACAACGGTGCTATGTTTTTTTTTTTTTTTTTCATTTTACATAACTAGTACTGTATGGCTATTAAGGTTTATAATAGGTTGGACGAAGAAATTAAATCTTTGCCGTTAAATGTTTTTAAAGGAAAATTAAAATCATGGCTGATTGGGAAGGGTTTTTACACCATTAAGGAATACTTTGATGCTTTTAAGTTTCAGTAGTATGTACCCACATGTTTCCTGTTTTGTTGCATGTATCTATTAAATTGCGTAAATTAAGTAGTTGTAAGCTATTTGAATGCCAGTTGTGGTGATTTATGCGAACTATTTTTATATGGACATCTGCTGTGTACCGCTTATCAAGCAAATAAATGAATTTTGATTTGATTTGATTTGATTTTGATTTAGCCGCGACCTTCACGATCGTCGGTCCACCTAGTGGGGCTCTTTGCCAAGGTTAATGCGGTAATAATAAAGGTGGTAAGTGATCATACCTATGAATAGCATGATGTCCTTATTGAGAAGGCATCGCGGGCTTTTGTTGGTCTTCAATACCTCCTGCAGTTCTGTCTGGTCTATTCTCACTCCTTTTTTCACCGGCTCGCCACATAGTAGCAGTTGCGATTGATCTGTAGAGAGAAGACAAAACATTTATGGCGCCTTTTGGAGTTACAATATGTGTTAAAGACGTAGCACACTTATCAACCCGGAAAGAGACCGTAACCATATCAACTCAAGTCGGTCAGTATTCTTTGTATGAAACTCTACACCACTAAATTTTTATCACCGAAAAAATTTTAACAGGTTATGTAGAAACGTGTGAAAAATTTAAAGCAAAAGAAAAGGAAATGTTTTTCATAAAGTTAATTTTTTTATTAAATTTTCTTTAGTCCGTATTTTACGCGTCACAGCTGGGTCACTCCGCTGCTCGCTAGAGTATTCGTACGCGCTTGCACGTTGCATCGATCTGTCTGTCTCGCTCACGCTTCGACCACGCTTCCAGTGTTATTATTACATACTTAGCTAACTTTTTGACCATTTTGAATTCTAATAAGGGTTACATTATCGTACGTAATAGTGCTAGCGACGCGTGTGTCAATAAACTACCAATTTTAGGAGGATATTTTGAGTCACTTTATTTTACTTTTTTTTGCACAAATAGGATCAGTATCAATAACTTATTACCCAGAATTTTTTTTTCGGTGATTAAAATTTAGTGGTGTATACTGCAACGCATACTTATCGGCACCGTAACGCCTCGCCTCGCGATTGACAGCGCGCGAAAGGCGATGACAGCTCGCGAAAGGCGATACGGTGTTAATCCCTCTCTGAGTTGATAAGTCTGCTATGACCTTTATTTTGCAACAAAAATTCTAAGGCTAATGACTGTACAACAGTCGACAGCACGTCAGACTTTACATATTTGTTGCAAAATGGCCTGTATTACAACGAGATAAGACGTCATTGCATCTTAGCATTTGACTTAGTATTTGACTTACCGAATTCTGACGGTGGCACACACTCGTTTAGAAATATCTTCTTTTCTGGGTCTTGATGGCTCCTGATTATGGCGTGAATATCATAATACTCGTTGTTGTTGAACATGTAACAGTGCCCTTTGAATTCTATTTTATATGTTTCTGTTGTACTGCAAAGGAAATAAATGTTTTGAGTCCATATGAAGTCAATTTAATACAATATTTACAGCCTAAATTTATGTCTCTCACCATATAAAGGCTATCGTATTTAGCCACTAGTGAGTGCCAGTGGCGCCAACTTGTGAGCGCAAATACGACCACCTTTACTCCACTAAAACATATTACATACTTAACTTACCGAGTTTTCGTACAAACGTCCAAGTAATAAATATTATAGTCATCTTGACACTGCCTTAAAATATAGCAGCCGTGCTTCTTAGCACGTTTCTCTTCCAGTTTTCGGTATGAAAACGCACCCCTAATAAACAAAAAACAACAAAATTTCAATACAGATTTTCAAATAAAAATGCACAGTTTAAATATGTAGTATTTAAATATGGAATAAAAATAATATCTTACCCTACTGGACCATGGCACTTGATTTCTTGCAACTCTTTCAACGATGGCGTTTCGTCGTCTTTTGATAAGTTGAACGTCCATTTTACCATTAACCTGTAGAAAAAGGTTCGTATTATGATTATGTATAATCCACGATTAATCTAATAATTTCTAGTAAGAATTAGAGAGAGATTTTAGGAGCAACATTCTTATTGCATACATGCATGATGATGATAAGTAAATACATATTTTATTTCATAAGCTCGCCAGTGTTAAAAAGTTAAGTGGCCAAACCAATTCATATTCGCGCTCAAATGTATGTTCGTTGTGAAATAATAGATACAATATTTTAATAGCAAAACAAACCTGTAATAGCCGTCGCAAACAGAAATAAACGACGACAGCTGGTCGTCAGACTTGAACTTGAAAAACAACGGGGTGCCCCGTCTCGACACCTCCAACGTGCAATTGCCGTTCCGCATGAGATAGATTAGCCCCTCTATGGTGCATACTTGCATCCACTGAAATGGAAATCACATAAATTATTGTGTAGAAAATATAGGCAAATAAATAACAGTGTATTTTGTATATTTGTCAGCAATTTCTTTTATATTAAACAGGGTTCGAAAATTAGCAACAACGAGCCGCAAACGCCTCTTTTGAAAGTAGCGACTCTTTAGTTCGTTCGTTTAGCAGTAGTACATTATAAAAACCTAAATTTTTAGACTCTAAAATATAGGTTAAAATGAAAATTGAGATGTAGCCTCTAAAATTTAGAGGAAGAGCCTCTACAGTTTAGAGTCTCTTTAAAACTGGAAAGTTTTGGAAGGTTTAACTTTTGACTCTCCCATATTAAAAGGTTACTGACCCCGGGCCTATTTATTTGTTTGTTGTGCTTGATTCAAATAATAATATTGTACATGATTCAAATATTGTACTTTAATCAAATAATATTGTACTTTAACCAAATATTAAAGTACACTAAACAAATAGCAAAAAGGACATAACGGTCGATGATATGATAAGTTCGAGCTATCCGTGGGAATGACTACCGGTCATAACACATTCTTACTACCACAGCTGGTTAGAGATTACGATAATAAGGCAAGTATGTTATAGTCTATCCAATATAGCTTGATTAAAATGACGGCTGTCAAACGAATGTGACTAGTGATGGGTATGTTTCGTACGGTTCACATAGATGTATCGATAAGTTTTCGAAAAAATGATATGAAAAAATGCACCCAATTTTTCTTCATATATCTTTATTCATAAAAATGACAATTATGATTTAAATTTAAAGACAGTAAATCTAAGTAGATGTACAACCTAAGTCGTAGTCATTATCATCAGTGTTCTTCAGTGGTTTTTTCCTCTCGCTAGAGGGCGGTGGGCATCTCTTCTAGAGCAACGGTGCTATGAATACCCAAAAAATTACCGGTGATTGATTTCCGATGTTTAATTATTTAAGAATGAAATGTTTTTTGGTTTTTAATAGTGAACATTTAGAAAAACGTATAACTTGACTTAAATATGTTAAAAAAATAGTTAGAAAAAAAATTGTTAAATATGTTAAAAGAATAGTTTTAATTTAATATGACATTTATCGATATGTCCCAACACTAACATTTTTGTAACTCGAGATAACCTTGTAGAGACGTCGTTAATACTCTAGCTTGATTTTTATGATTTCGAATTACTACTTATTGGTGTAGGTAATTTAACGCTGCATTTACACGAAATTATCATTTTTATTGGAAGCACTGTCGTCGAAAATATTGTTTGTAGGTCAGACGTGAATTATTTCTTGTCCGCCAATATTTAGCTCTCATTGATCGCTACTACAAAGTTATGTCGTTACTATTGATGACAGCTGTCATTCTAATCAAGCTATATTGGATAGACTATAATTAGCTTAGCAACTTAATTTGTTTTTCCACAATTAATTAATGCTCGCTTGGGAAATTGCTCAGAGCATATTAGAAAGACAGGTTCACGAGTCAATGGCCCTGTCTATTACTTTTTTAAAGCACGCAAATTGTGCGAAATATCAATGATAACAACTTTATCTTCTCATTGATAATTATCTTCTTTATTGGCACAAGATTAGAATGTAGATAAATAACGGTGCATTATTCCCGCGTAAGACTTGGAAACTTTTAAAACCGTAAACCTTTATTTTAACGTAAAAAATACCATCTGCCTACCACCATGAAGCCTCTAGCTATTATAGTAGTAACATTGGAATATTTATGTATAATATGTTTTATTTAAGAATTCTTGAGGCAAAATACTTTTTATAAGCGCGAACGAAGCAACAAAAACGCAGTAAGGAAAAGGCGCGGCGACAATTAATATTGCTCAGCCATATTCATTTATGTAAATAGAAATGAGTTCTACGAACTAGTTATAAAAAGACCATAAAAATGGACACGTTTGTCTATAATAGGGTATTTTGCATCTTTTAATAGCTACTAAAAGTTCAATTCTCAGATGTAATATTTTTGAAACATTATTTAATTGGGAACTGGGACTGCTTAAAAATCACCTTTAAAACAATTAAGCCATCAATGATCGTCAAATTTTTATTTTATATTTGTAGAGGAACTGTATAAAACTCATGGGCAACCTAGCATGTTTTTGAAGTAGGTACATATTTGCTTTTTAGAGCCACATAACTTGGGCCGATTGTAAGGGTATTGATAGTAGTAGTGTTATTTCGATTGTAAATTCTAATGTTTTAAAGATTCTTGCTTGAACTCTTGTAAGCGGATAGGATCTAGAATGCCGCGCCATTTTATCGATTTTACGTGATAAGTTCATACATTTGTCGCCTTAAATCATCGATAAAATTTTATCACGGCACACATCCTATCCCTGTTGAACTGCAGCTATAGTATTATCGACCATCGTTTTAGAGAGCTGTGGAGCAAGTTCTTCAAAATACCCTAAACACAAACTTTCAAAGAATGAATATTAAGAATGTATTACCTCTCCTTTATTCGTGTCGTATAACCGAATACCGGGCTGCTGGGGATGGAATGGCGCTACAACGAGTCGAACCGGCACTATGTTATCAGCGTTCAGCCACAAAACATTGTCGTACTCTTCAGCCAAGTAGTTCGGCGCGAGCCCATACAGTTGCACCATGTATTTGTCTTTCAAGTAACTGTTAAACAAAATTATATTATGTACAGACGAAGGCACATAAAGTTACACTCTGTGGCATCTTATGTAGGTGTAATAGAAGCTATTTTACAACAAATAAGTGTAATTATTAATAAGTGTATAATACTTTTGACTAAAAACCAAAAGTCAGGTCTACCCAGTTTGAGGACTACTAGAAGTCATAAGATATTTTATGAAATTGCTTCCGTAAAAAAAATACGTAAGAAAGTTCATCAGCACAAAGATGCCCAATTTCTGACTACATTTAAGACATAAAATGTAGCTCATTTCATAGAAATTACAAGCATTTTGCAACTAACTGTGAAATCCAAATCAAATACAAGTTTTTCATCCGAGACACAACGATAACAAATTAATCGTAAAATATACACATCCTTATCAATATAACATTTACTCACTTGACACTGTAGTGCATCTCAAATAGCTTGGGGAGATAATAGTTTGCGTGCCGCTTGGGAAAAGGCCCATGACGCTTATTTATTATCTTTGGTATATACTTTTTACAGTTTCTCACTACTTCATTCATTGATAGTTTCTCTTCAGTTATGGCACGGCACCTGAAACATAGTTATTACTTAAACTATGTAATTATAATAATGACATCATGTTGTTGTAGTTTTTAATATTAATTCAAGAGCTAGGTAAAAAGTAGTAGCATTAATTTATTGAGAAAAATATAATACCCAGAAGTAATTTTATCACTTCTTGAAATACTAAAAACTACAACAATATAAACATTTATTGTTAAATTTATAATCTTTATGTAGATAGGTACATAACATCTTAATAGCTTGAAGACATGAAACATTCAAAGAGATTGTTGTAATGTAGAAACCATTATGGTGGGCCCATTCTTAATCAGCCTCTTTTGTATGATCTATCGTAAATGTTTTGAAATACGGAATTAAACAGAATATTCCTTTTTCAAGGGCTGCACCCACAAGATGGACCGACGACATCATAAAGCAGGGAAGCGCTGGACGCAGGCCGCTACCAAGAGATGAATATGCAAAGCATTGAGGGAGGCCTATGTTCAGCAGTGGGCGTCCTATGGCTGAAATGATAATGATGAAGGGCTACTCTCACTCACAGGGACACTCTCTTATCATTATAATCCTTTTTTTTTAGACAGCTCCTTGACTGGTCTGTCTGGACAGATTCATCCAGACTGGACAGAATATTGCAAATATTCATCTGGAATTCTTGATTTACATTTTAGCTTATTTAAAGCTTATGTTCTTATACTCTTCAGATAGTCATGTTTATTTCTAAGCAATCCTGCTGAGTATAGTTCTAGTGTCGGTAATTTAAGCGTCAGTAATTACAGTCCTATTGTTTCATTTGTGTGATATTTTCAATCCATGAATTCTATTGTAGTCAGTGTAAATAGGCTTAAAACACTAGCTTAAAAAACTTGTCATTATTATCTTTCAGTAATAATCATCTTTTAATTAGACCTTAGTATATTTACAATTATTAATTAAAGCTTCCTCTAAGTCAGATCAGTGCTTTAGCAAACTGCAATGAAACTTAAAATTTAAAATTAAATTCTATAAAAAAATGTCTCCTACACTTGATGAACTCATAAAATCGTAGTGAGAAAAAGAAGCATTTCAATTTCAAAACAAAATATCTTCTTGTAGAAGATTTTCCTAAGACTATGCGCAGACCACCGAATTTTAGTTGGCCGATAGTTGGGCCCGATTTTAATTTGTATGAAGAATTGGTCAAATAAAATGGGTGTAAACTGCCCGACTAAACTATCGGCCGACGAAAAATTTATGGTCTGCGTCTAAGCTAAAATATACAAAATGACCTGACAATGATTGGGGTATACTATCTGATAAAATTTTTATCTCTCATTGTATAACAATCAGTCAGAAGATTTGTAGATTAAAGGCGATGAGAGCAATACAATTTTTTTTATTTTTTTTCTGCCATATGGCCATCTTTTCAAAAACAATAAGCCACTTGTTTGGCTGGAGATACATGTCCTGAGTTTTAGCAATACAATAACAACAATAAATTCATTCATACTTACATATCCGTGATGCCCAAGCCGAGCAGCTCTTGCTTATGATCGGGATACCGGATCTCCGACACTTGATTGTCATTGATGTCAATTCTGGCTTGTTGAAAGTAATAGTCAAAGGTGACCTCATCCAATGACATCAAGAGCCCCAATCTTGGCACCTATTATCAAAAATATAGCAATTAGCATTGATTACTAAACTTATTTATTGCAAGTAAGGAAATGGACTTAATGGAGAAGGAATTCTTTAAGGACTCTTAAAGAATTATAAACCACAGATCGTTATCATTATGAATCTATGAATTTAAACTATAATTAACACAGTTTAGATATACAGGGTGGCCAAAACAGTGAGGTCTAAAAGAAAAATTTAGATTCCTTACATCAAGGTGTACCTAAATCACCCCCATGTATATAATACGATTGTGCTTAGTTTAGGAGATAGAGTAAATTTTGTGATATTTTAAAACTTTATGACCTAGTAGGCTTTAAACATTTTTATCTTTTTTTTTGGGTTGACTTTTCTCAGATTTCTTTTTTTCGACAGATTTGTTATTAATTGCAGATGTTTGAAAAAAATAATCACCTTCCTATCTTTGATTCAAGATACAAAAGTTTTGCTAGAAACATTAAAATTATGCTTTTATCAGAATACTGTCAAATTTTCAACTTAAAAGTTTAAGTCGAAAAAAGAACTTCCATAGGTCCAAAATCATTTTAAAAACTGCGCCGTTTCCTAAACATTCATAATAATACAAAAAAACATGTACTTAATGGGCCACTATTTCCTGTAATCGGTCCACTAAAGTGGTAAGTCGGAGATTCCGTTACATGTTTTTGACTTTCTTAGAGTGAATTAATATTGGGAATCCTCTAAGTTTACATTACGTAGAACAGATTTAGAGCAGTAACTGGACAGAACATGTTTTTATTCTCAACGAGGAAGCTCTTGCCCTTCATCACACCTGGCGGAAACTGATGATTAGGCTGAAGGTGGAAGGGAACTTCACTACAGAGGAACTATGGCTTCCTACCTCGAAATTCTGGAACACATTGTTATTTTAAGTAAGTTTTAATGAACATAAACCAAATTTCCCTCCTTCTTCTTCTCACTGTAGTAGGTATTTCAAGGGTAACAGTAAAATGTAACAACTGACTCTGTCTTCAATTGGTAAGAGGTTAGTTTCAGAGGTCCCGGCTTTGATTCCCAGTGGAGGTAAAATTTTCTGCTCGGTTTGGTTGATCTAAGTCTGCCTGGCTAGCAACTCTATTTTCCTAAGTCTGTCACTATAACAATAATGTTAATAGCATTACTGTATTCCGGCATTTGGAGGTAGGAAGCCATAGTTCCTCTGTAGTTGAAGTTCCCTTCCACCTTCAGCCTAATCATCAGTTTCCACCAGGTGTGATGAAGGGCAAGAGCTTCCTCGTTGAGAATAAAAACATGTTCTGTCCAGTTACTGCTCTAAATCTGTTCTACGTAATGTAAACTTAGAGGATTCCCAATATTAATTCACTCTAAGAAAGTCAAAAACATGTAACGGAATCTCCGACTTACCACTTTAGTGGACCGATTACAGGAAATAGTGGCCCATTAAGTACATGTTTTTTTGTATTATTATGAAAGTTCAGGAAACGGCGCAGTTTTTAAAATGGTTTTGGACCTATGGAAGTTCTTTTTTTTCCTTAAACTTTTAAGTTGAAAATTTGATAGTGTTCTGATAAAAGCATAATTTTAATGATTCTAGCAAAACTTTTTTATCTTGAATCAAAGATAGGAAGGTGATTATTTTTTTCAAACATCTGCAATTAATAACAAACCTGTCGAAAAAAAGAAATCTGAGAAAAGTCACCCCAAAAAAAAGATAAAAATGTTTAAAGCCTACTAGGTCACAAAATTTTAAAATATCACAAAATTAACTCTATCTCCTAAACTAAGCACAATCGTATTACATACATGGGGGTGATTTAGGTACACCTTGATGTAAGGAATCTAAATTTTTCTTTTAGACCTCACTGTTTTGGCCACCCTGTATAGATCTCATTGGTTTAGATTGGATTTGATTCATTCAATTGTTTTAATAGTTTAAATGTATGAAACTATTAAAACAATTGAATGAATCAAATCCAAAAATTTAAATATCTTCAATGTCTTGTTAAATGTTTGGATTTTAAAACTTTTATCTTATCAAACCAGCTTAGGTAGGTACATGTTTTGATTTTAATTAAGAGTAATTTGTAGGTAGGTACTGTGACATCTCTTTTAGATTTAAGGTAATAACATAATCATTGCTTAAAATTTTTATTTGGCTATAGTGGCCTTACAGATTGTCTTTATGACCAACAACTGTTCAAGTTTCTTTAATTCATGGAACTTGTGAGATTTCAGACATTATGCAAAAGTAATTGTCTCGCATTTATCAGTACCTAAGGCATATGAAAGGTTAAACTTTGATAATTTGATATCATTCAATTGAAATGATTATTTGATGGTTTTTAATATGCTGCCTATCAACAACACCAGGATAAAGATATGTATTGTTATCTACCCATCTGCACAGTTCTTATCTATTACACAACACAAACAACATTATTATTGTGATAGGTATGATGCTAAAAGATAACAAATACACTATGGTGTATGTGACAATTAGTATGCACACATAATAAACATAGCATGTACAGTAACATGAGTTAATTCAATTATCACATGCATATTCAAACACAATCTGAGGGTCAAATTGACAACTTAGGCCAAGCACTTACTTTGAAACGAATCCTCAGCTCATAGTCCCTGGAGCTTGATAAGACTTCGCAGTTGTCTTTGAGAAAATACCGACTCCCTTTGATTCTCAATGCAAACAACGTACGCGTCAAGGGAGGTATGTTGTACTTCTTGCATAAAATAATGCATAATTGCTCAGCTGTAAAAGTCCTAGTGGGGCATTCTATGATTACTGGAGCACGCTCTGTAACCACTGACACGGTAACCGTGTCGTCTCTTGAGGCCATTGTAAAATAACACCATAAAAACAAGGGACGCTGGTGATAAAATTTAATTCACTTTGACAGTATATTTAGGTTAGCACTGAATAAGATTAAAAACATTTTCTTCATCTTTTCTGTGATTACGTATGATTATAACGTCAATGAGTAAATACACAAAAGTTTATCTTTAAAACTAAGGTCACAACACGGCCATCACTTATTACTTTTCTCTATGGCCATCACTAACAAATTCTATTTATTTATTTCACTAGTCGATGCCTTGCCAGAACGAGCCATAAATATAGATGACCCACGCTGAACTGTCCCGCCAAACTCAATGACAGGGGGGCGCTACCATCGTGCAACTATATGGTTTCCAACATGGCAAAAATCTGAACCAGCGATCTGGTATTGACGGTGGCGCCCCACTGTCAATGTCATCGACAGGACAGTCCAGTATTTTGGAACTATAAAACGCCATTACAAAATGACAGCCAAACACGAACCACTGACAACCTGTATGTTGTCTCGTTTTCTCTCATGCACTTAAACGTAGATAGAGTTCTCTATCTACGCACTTAAACAAGAATAGCAATAGTAGAAAATAAAATCGATTAAAGGTTTTTGGTAGTTTTTTTTATGAATGAGTTATAAAACACGTCCGATTATAAATTAATATCTTTCCTTTGCTCAAATCTTGCCAATGGAGACGCTAGTTAGCCGTAAGCACTTACTTTTACTAACAATGTGCTAGAATCTTAATATAATTTCATTCGTTCGTTCGTATATAATATAATTTATTATAGCCTGACCAGGAACATAAAAACCCTGGCATAGAGGCGCTTCAATTGCATTTGATAGTGCAACACTGAGTACAGTCGTACATGTGTTAAATTAATAGGCTAAATTTATGTATCAGGATTCAGGATTACGGGCTAATTTGATATTTTCATAAATGAACGAAAAATATTATTAAAGGTAACCTGGTTTAAATAAATTAAATGAAACCATCAATCGAGCTAGTAGGATTTATTTTATTATTCATCAATAATCAAATTCAGAACTTGAATATTCAACTGCAATGTCTGCTCATGAACGCTTCAAACTCGGTACTTCTTTCCCAATTCCATAAAATTCAAAACTTAGAAAGTAACAAGAAACTTTAAAATGGGTAGTTGAAACAGACTACAGCTAATTTTCATAGTGGACTGTACTATACGATAAACATGTCAGTCAGTTTGACAACCTTTGTCTGAAACATTATTCAATGAAAATATTGTCCGAACCCTTAGTATTTCTCTTCGACAAATACATTAACACACCGTGAACCACTTTTCTTTCACGACTATAAAAATATTTTAGCAATTTAATTCACAAAATCAATTGCACACATTTAAAATAAAGTTTGTTTACACTTTGACAACAATAGACTGTCATGCAAGGTGACATGTCAATGAAGTTTTCAGTTACTGTTGCCATTAAAAGAAATTAGTACCATTAGTTTTCCGCAACATGGCGAGGGTTTTTATGTTCCTGGTCAGGCTATACCATATTTTTTGTCCCAATGAGATCTTTTTTTTTTTAATTTTATGTCCAGTCCAATCATTTTTATTCACATTTATAATTGTCATTTTTTAATCGTTAATGGTTATGGCCAAAGAAAGTATAAGGTGAATGCACATCACTATTTCTTGACTACCGGTTATTTTTCGATTGTACCGATTTATCTCGATTGACTTTTTTTTTGTTCAATTTGTATCGTCTAATCTAAACTCTATTCTCTTTGGTCCTGCCCGTCGCCATTGTCTGAGGTCTTCATCATTGTTGTCCGTATTTTTATTAATTTGTAATTAATACACACATTGTAACTTGGTAATTACATCAATTACAATCAGGTAAGTGTCTTCAATTATGTTTCAGTTGTTTTTAAACTAAATCTCATTGTAAAATCTTAGATATGCACGTGCGATGAAAGTTCCATAGCCGGTCTCGGCGTTTTTTGACGGTTATCTTTTCTTTGTGACTGAAAAAGTAAATCCAACTTTTGAAAATCAATGTCCGAAGGCCTATTGTTTATAAATACATCAACATTTTGACATCACTTATGGTTTATTGGCTCTAGTAGGTAGATGTAGGTATTCAATTTAAAACAACGCAATAAATAACTACCTTCCGGATTATTTACTCACGTTCATCATGATAGGATCTACAGATTCCTATAGGAAACAGTATTGGATTTACCTTGGAAAATTTCCTATAGGTATAAGAGAGGTACAGAAGAACTTGACGACTTAGAAAAAAAAAAGAAATGTGGGTAGAATTATTACACTTTTCTCGAATTTTTTTTCAATGGCCTCATCGTATAATTTCTTTCCAGAAAATGGATGACGAATGGGATGATGCTTCTGAAATTGTAAGTATTGAGTTTTCTCAGTATTACTTGAATAATGTAGATAATTTTTTATCTAGCATGTTTATGCAGTCTTGAGGCACCATATTAGAACTATTTAGTCATCATGTCAGTATAAAATTTTCAATAAGTTATTCAATTTAAGGACTAGTGTAAGTACCTATTCAATTATTTTTTTCTAACAATAAAATCTTTGTTGCAGGTGGCCCCGCCTCCAGTAGTTAAAAACACATACAATAGTTATGATGACCCGTCAGTAGATGAAGGACACAGCCTATCCAGAGGCAGAGGCTTCACATCATTTGATGATGGTAATATCTTGCTTTTATTAAAGACCTAGTAGACCCAGCGAACTTTGTACCACCACTTTTTTCTTTAAATAATACCAGTTTCTCACCGTTTAATCCTCCCTGAACTACGATACATTTCTAAGTCAAAATAAGCTACATCGGCCCAGCCGTTCTCAAGTTTTAGTGAGATGAACAAATAGCAATGTTATAGATTTTATGTATTTCATCAATTAGTGCACCTATTTTGCTAATTGCGAAAGAGTACAGAATTTGCCTGTCCTTCACATATCAAACATTTCAAAGATTCAGTGCATTAAATACAAACGTGTTTAATTATTATGATGTTAGTCATTCTTCTAACTAATATATCTACATTTTTTAATCATATAAAATACACTGCCCCAATAAAATTTTATGTATGAAGTCATCATCACTATAAAAACATTTTTATTACTCTTGTTACACTTTTTATTCTTGTTAACAACTTGTTGACTGCTCAAGTTCATTGTCTATCAGCATTTCGATTAACAAGCTAGCACGGCAGATTTAATACTCGCTTTTTTTATAAGATCTAAAAGAGTTTGTTCACTGAAGTGTTTAAAAGTATGCTGATAATGTCTCGCCCTTTCTGCTAACATAATGCTAAATAACCTTTTCACTTTGAAGCATCTTTAGTAGATTGTTAGACCTACATGGTTTTTTGTTGCTCTTGATCAATGTAAGCCAACCCAAAAGTAGAAACATTTACAAGTGGAGAAGGGCACTCTCAAGTTCCATTTATTTATTTTAGTTGAATTAAAAGTTGTGTAGATACAGTTTTCATAGTGAACCATAATTTGGTCATGAAGAATTCTTGCAACTCATGGAGGCGAGTGAGCTTTACTTGTGTGTGTACATGTACATGCACATAATGATAGTATAATGTCTATCAAAACTGTAAAACGAACAGTAGAGAGCCACCACACATGTGAAGCTCACTCGCCTACGTGAATTGCAACAACTATAACTTGAACAAAGAGCGCAATTGCCATTGATTCTGCATGTTGATGTAAAATGACCATAAAGTTGGACATGCTATTAATACAAGGGCGCATTCACAGTTAGAGCTTTGTTACAGATTTAGATAAAGACAATGGCGGTGGCTTTGGCGACAGACGCGGGCGCGGCGGCCGGGGCGGAGGCCGAGGCAGAGGCGGCCGCGGGGGGCGCGGCGGCGGCAGGGAGCACCGGGATTATGAGACTAATGGTACTGTATACTTTTTATTTATCTTTATCTATAAAAGCAAAAGGTCACTTTGACTGACTGACTCACTCACTCATCACAAAGTCTCATAAAGTACAAGTGCTAGGAGTCTCAAATTTTGCATGGGGTTTCCTTTTAGAACGTAGGTGCTCATTAAGAACGGATTTTACAAAAGCACCCCTAAGGGGGTAAAACGGGATCCACGCGTACGATGTCGCGGGTGGCCGCTAGTTTATTGATAAAAGTTCATCAACAGCAAAACTGTTTTGCCAAAACACATAAGACATTCACAGTATAACACAATGATTTCCAGAAGGTTGCAGCATTAAATATATTATTTGAACTTTTTGTTGATCAAGCACTTGATTCAGGTGTAGGATTTCAAAGTTATCAACAGAACCACAGTAATACATTTACTGTGACAGAACAGTCTTACTCTTTATCATGTGTTTTATTCACATGTCACTGTTTTGAAATATGTATTGTAGGTACTTCATAACATTAAACATGTAAGTTTATGAGGATGTATTTTGACACTCCTTGTACGCTATTAACTTATTGTAAACTGGTGTGTCAATTTAACTTCACACAAGGGAATCTGTGATGCCGATTAGTCGTGCTATAAATAGGAGGGGAAAACGTATCCAGAAAGAAAGTACAGTCCAACATAATATTTGTCTTACGAATTTAGTTGCGCAGCTGTTGATAAATACGATAATCGAGGTGACAGATATTTTATTTGTAAGTAAAATTTCGCGCCGATAGTGCCGATGACTCACCGAACACGTGAGGATAGATTACATCCTAAATCTTATTCAATCTGTATCAATAATGTAGTTGTTATTGCCATTTTTTCGCCAATAAAAGGTCAAGGTCGTGAGAAAACCTGTCCATGGTTTCTTTGAAATATTCCTCCTATATTGCTAGCTATTGTCTTGTCTATTATAGTGTCTTGTTTGTTATATGTTTTATTCCACAAATAATACAGGATTATAGGTGAGGAAGAAAATGACCTAGAAAATTTTTCTTTATTTATTCTTTCAGTGATAAAATCAATTATTCTCATGCAATAAATTCATTAGAGTGCTAAATAAATCGTCTTGTTACAAGCCCATCCATCAAGTTAATAAAAATTCAGTAGGTTTCTAAATGCTACATGAATGCGATCCGATTGCAAAACGTGTCGTGCACATGCGCGTCAATTTTGTTTTTGTCCCATTGTGTAAGTGTTTTAAGTAACAATTTTTTGCGGCACTTTAAAGTGATATGTTCGAGTAGGGTTCAATATTTTTTTGTAGTCGCCGTTTTTTCTCGACACTCGAAAAGTAAACGCATTCTTGATGTGCATGCAATATTTCAACAAGTCGCTACTTTTTGTTGGAAAATCGTACTTACGCTATTCGTCTTTTGAAACCAAACTTATAATATTTTGCTGTGCGTATACAGTTATCAGAATTTGAGAAGTAAAATAGGGTTCTATATTGGCTCACATAAAATTCTATATCCTATTCTTTGTCTTACTACCGATTTTTGTTCATAATAATCTCTCTTCATAATTTTATTTTTCATACTTTTTTTATTCATACATTTTTATTACTACCATCGGAGCTCATAACAGTTAGTAATCATAATTTTTTTATCAATACTGTCACTACCAAGAACCATTTAAAATACATAATTTTTATTTTCAGATCTTCGCCTCCGGCTTTTAAATTACACTCTAGGGGTAGGGCAGACAAGACTACGTGGAGTCGGTTTTGCAGCGATTCGTTTCTGTCACGTTAGTTTTGTGGCACAAAATATTGCCTGTTTTGGACCATTTCAAATTAATTTAATGTTAAAATACGATTTAATACGAATATAGACATCATGATTTTCAATAATATGGATAAATACACTTATGAGTAATAAAGTTATGAAAACAAATATTAGGATACATCACATTTATGAATATTATAGTTATTTATTCGAATGATTATGAGTTTCGATCATTAGTATAGAAAAATATATGAAAACAAATATTAGTAAAAACTAAGTGTATGATTAGTGATATTTGAATATCAATGATTATGTTTTTAAATATGTAGGTTTTAAATTTTTTATGAAGAATGATCATTATGGTATCAAATTGTATGAGAAATATTTTCGGACCTCCAATGATAGGAATTGAAAAGTTATGTAAGAAAATGCGCTACCGTAAAATAGGTATATTGAAATCGCTTAATCCACGAAAAGCCATGACTTACAATTTGACGCTTACATTTTTGTATTATGTAATAATTTCCAACTTTTCCAAGGATATAGGCGCGCGCGAAAGCATTATATTTTATGCACATAAAACTATACTCGTGTCCATCTGCTGAACATAGCCTTATCAGCTTTTGACTTAGCACTATTATGGAACTGTGCGAACGTAGACACTTTTTTACCGTCACAGCCATCATACTAATCGTATGGTGTGAAGTGGAAGAAACTGGACACAAAGATAGTCGCTGGTGGCTTGTATACCACATAACAGGCACAAAAGCGTCTTCACTTTCGCAGTCTCCAATGTGCTCATCATTTTTTAGGTGACAGTTACGGCGACGACAATGACAGGGGTGACAGAGGCGACCGCGGGGAAAGGGGTCGCGGGAGGGGCCGAGGCGGTCGCGGTGGCGGGCGCGGCGGCGGCGGCGATAGAGACCGCGGCGATCACGGTGACGGCGAGCCGGAATTGGGCGAAGACGGCGAGCCGAAGAAGCCGCCGGTGACGTACGTCCCGCCGGAACCCAGCAATGATGAGCAGGAAATCTTCAGCAGCACAATTAGCTCCGGAATCAACTTTGATAAGTTTGACGCTATTGCTGTTAAAGTGAGTATATTAATTTGAGAGGAAACGCCAATCTGCACTTCTGTAGTAATATTGTAAATGCGAACTCTGTCTGTTACCATTTGCCGCGTAAGCAACTGATTTAGATAAAGTGTTGCATATTGGTAGCTTGAGATCCAGGATATAACAAAGATAGTTCATATGCCAGTTTTTAAAAGAGGGATACGCGCGCTGTAATCTTTCTGCAATGTACTAAAATTCTCCCAGACTATGTTGCAGACTAGGTACATATTAGCATTTAAATTTTCAACAACAAAAAAACTGATACTAAATCACACTTTTTAGGTGAGTGGAGAGAACCCGCCACGGCCTATTGATAGCTTCGAAAACGCCAACCTTCGGAAGTACGTCCTAGACAACATATTAAAGTCCGGCTACACAAAACCCACACCTATTCAGAAGCATGCGTTACCCATCATCATGAATGGCAGGGATCTCATGGGATGTGCACAGACTGGCTCGGGTAAAACTGTAAGTAATACAACAATAATAAGGATCAATTTCATGAAACCATGTTCAGATTTGATTGTAATATTCACTGTTTTGTTTCTCACAGGCAGCATTCCTGTTACCCATAATAAATACACTGCTCCAAGACAACAGGGAGCTTATAGTCGGACCAAATGGATGTGCTCAGCCACAAGTAAGTTATTTATTATGTTCAGTTTTTAGTAGTTGAACATTTTATAAAGGCGCAGCAAGAAGGCGATTAATTAATATTATAATCATTGATTTTAATTAACCGATTATTAACATGTGTCATGTAAACACTTGTTTTCTTTATTTTTTAATTATAAGCCTAGGCACAGACTACCGATTTATAGTTGGATCGGGCTGTTGATCAGTATGGAGATTTATGATATTTCTTCATACAAATTAGAATCTGGCCCAAGTATCAGCCAACTAAAAGTTAGTAGTCTGCGCCTCGCCTAAATGTGTTGTTCGTTAAACAGATATTCATAATTTCACATTTATGTCTGCATCACTTTGTTCAAGCCACAAAGGACTGTCACTAAATATGTTATCAACTAATGCATTGTAATTATTCCAGGTAATCATAGTGTCGCCCACACGCGAGCTGACGCTGCAGATATTCAACGAGGCGAGAAAGTTCTCGTACGGCTCGGTACTGAAAATCGCTGTGGCGTACGGTGGGACGGCCGTGCGTCACCAAGGAGATAACATTGCTGTGAGTTATACAATAAACATAATTAAAATTCTTTATTGCTCCATATATTTATTTTTAGCAAAGTCCTGACAGGATTCAGAAAAGTGAGCTATGTTTTCATGTGGTCGCTACATATTTTTGTTGGGAGAAATGTCCGTAGTACATGGTCAGTTATAGTATGATACGTTTATTTAATAATAACTCCAATTAACTAATTGATTGCTTTGTAAACAGAGCAATTAATCAGAGTTATGAGCAATAAATAACATTCGCACGTCGAGTTTAATATCTTCAAGTTTTAACTTTTATTTTAAATTCGCACACAAAACTAAGTCTTTTTTACACTTCAATGAACTTGAAAACCTTAACTCCTATTTAATACCTAATGGATCAGTTGTTAACTTCACCGGCACGTCTTCAGAAGTATTTAATAATATCTATCAGCTATAATATTGCGGCTTGCAAAAAGGCCATCTACCATCCATCGTATTCTCCGAGACGTGACAAACGTGCAATGATTATTTTAGTTTCGTATTATATTTATCACAAAACAGCTCAAAATAAATTGTATTTAATGTCAAGCATAGTAAGGGCTTATAAATATTTAGTTTTAGACTTATGACTGCTCGGATTGAGTTTTGCACCTAATACCAGGCCTGTTCATCTCCGCGAGTTTACATCGAAAACAAAACACGCACGATGGCCCACCTACAGGATACTATTCGACAAGGCCTCACAAACGAGCGAACATTGACTCACGCACGCGTATTCTTGTGTATGATGGAAGAAAATAAAGAAAATGGAGTACTAAATACTGTGCAGTATTTAGCTGCCTAAATAATAATAAAAACACAGAATGTACTTTTTTAAGTTGTCTCAAGACACTGAAAGGTAATAAGTAGTTAATATTATTCTTGAATATTCATGCTAAATCATGTATTTCCTCCGCCATTTTCCGCAATTTGGCACCTCACGTCACATCATTTTACCGAAGTCAGCCCTATAGCTTCGGCGCAGTGCCGATTACTGACGTTTGTCAACAAAATGGTGCTTTACTCTTGAGACAGGCTAAATTACACCATATTGTTAATGACATTGAGCATACATTTTTTTAAATTCCTTCGCGAAGTAAAACTTCTGTACGTAGTACTTATTATTATTCTGTGCTAATACAGACTAGTCCATTTTCCCAAATCAAATTCATTATAAAGTATAGGCCCTTTTCAACCTACTTCACATTCTAAGTATAGCATGCCCTACTACCACTTAACGCGATAACGCTTGGTGCTGAGAAGTGACGCAAGAAACCGTCACTTTTTTCAACCTTTTATTAATAATTAGCGTGCCGACCCGGCTTCGCACGGGTGCTAAGTAAACATATAAAACCTTCTTGAATCACTCGACCTATTTTAAAAAACCGCATCAAAATCCGTTGCGTAGTTTTAAAGATCTAACTTTGCGACGGGCGCCCGCAGTGAGTGTGCGAGCGCGACAGCAACATAAAATTACGCGCGAGCGATAAGGATGGGTAGCTTGGGGTCATTGGACAAAATTCTACGTACTCGCAGACCAGACTATAGTGACAAGAATATTATTTATTTCTCTTACAGAGAGGCTGCCACATCCTAGTGGCGACTCCGGGTCGCTTGCATGACTTCGTAGACCGCAGCCGCGTGTCTTTCGAGAGCATTCGCTTCGTGGTCCTGGACGAGGCCGATCGCATGTTGGACATGGGCTTCATACCCAGCGTTGAGAAGATGATGGAACATTCCACCATGGTGCCTCTTGTGAGTATTTTTTTACAAATATTCCGTATAAATGGCCGCTTGGTCAACACGTGTGTTTTTAAAACCTTCCCGGCTACGCTCACTACATAACTTATACACTCACGCTCGTATTCACAAAATCGAACGCACCGCGTTGAATAGAGCTCTGTGATTAGTTCATGTGTCACCCTGTGCGTCCACGCGTACTATGAGACCTCATAGTGATGTTTGTGAATACGGGCGTCAAAATGTGAGTGTAATCGTGGACGTAATTACGGTACAATCAGTTTTTATTTTAATTGAACAAGTGTAGTGATTATGTCAGTTTCGCCATTTATCTTCGAGAATATTTTAGAGGCTGAGGGATTTCATTCATTTAAAAAATTACACTAACGATAATTAATCAGAACCAAACATATTAGAACTTGAGCACCTATATCTATAAACTATAAAAGTTTGAGTAACACAATGAACAACACAAAGTATTACAATAACATCATTCTCTATACTCTGTAAGCTCTGGGATCAATCATCTAGTCAGCTAAAATGTGCAGACTGCAAACACTATGGAAAACTGCGTCAGCAATGCGAGCTTAGCTCTTGGTCTACAACCGGCATTAACGTTTTCTCATGGCTTCCCTTCCAGACTGACCGCCAAACGCTCATGTTCTCCGCGACCTTCCCCGAAGACATCCAGCACTTAGCGGGCCGCTTCCTCAACAACTACTTGTTCGTTGCCGTCGGCATCGTAGGCGGGGCCAGCACGGATGTGGAGCAGATATTCCTGCAGGTCGCCAAGTATGAGAAGCAGAATGAGCTGAAGAAACTCATTGAGGAGAACAGTGAGTATCTTAAGACCATCATCATCATTTCAAACACAGGACGTCTATAGCTGATCATAGACCTTCCCCAATGATTTCCATAATGACTAGTTGGACCATATTTTTTATCGAAAAATGTATTATATTATGGAGCTGAATTTATCAATTTAAGGAATATAGGTTGTATTTGCGAGTCATGAATGTAGTCTTCGTATGTCAATGACATACCGACCGATGCTTGTTCTTTGGCGGCTAATTTTTTTTGTACTTATTTAGTTGGCCAATTTTAATCAAGAAAATAGGTGTAACACTTGCACACATCACATTTATTAACTAAAGCCTGGTCCGTGAGCACGTAGAATTTTGTCCAATGACCCCAAGCTACCCATTCCTATCGCTCGCGCGTAATTATATTGCTGTCGCGACTGTGCGACGGGCGCCCGCAGTGAGTGTGCGAGCGCGACAGCAACATACTTACGCGCGAGCGATAAGGATGGGTAGCTTGGGGTCATTGGACAAATTCTACGTGCTCACGGACCAGGCTTTAGATGTTACATTTGCTTGAAACAACAGAGATGTTAAAAGTTCTCAAATGACGCACGACGCGTAAAAATGTAAATTATATCTCTTTAAGTATTCAATTTTGTACGTTATTATAGAATGTTCACGGTCCACTTTCAGACGGCAAGCGCGTCCTCGTGTTCGTGGAGACGAAGCGCAACGCGGACTTCATCGCCGCCATGCTCTCGGAGCGGCAGATGCTGACGTCATCCATCCACGGCGACCGAATGCAACGCGAGCGCGAGGAAGCGTTGCACAACTTCAAGAGCGGCCGCCATTTTATCCTCGTCGCCACCGCCGTCGCCGCCAGGGGGCTTGGTAAGTAACACTATTTTCAGTCATATTCTCACAGAAACTATCTATACTAATAATATAAATGCGAAAGTAACTCTGTCTGTCTTGCTTTCATGCCTAAACCACTGAACCGATACCGAACTTTGGCATAGATGTAATTTGAGTCCCGGGAAAGGACATAGGATAGTTTTTCTGTGATAGACAAAATTCCACGCGGGCGGGAAGCTAGTAAAATATAAATTCGCGAGCGCGACGACTCACTGAATTTCAAGAGCGGCTACAACTTTTATACTGGTCGCTGGATTTAACACTCCCCCTGCGGCGATGCTGCATTGGTTAATACTGATTTTTACAGAAAACTTTAAACCACACAGATATCTAAACGTCCCGGAACCAATTTAGCGATACTTATTTTTACTTTCTAGGTCCGCTCCAAGACATCTACATATAAATACATACAACTTGTTTTTTTGCTCTACAGATATCAAAAATGTTGACATCGTCGTGAACTACGACCTCCCAAAGAGCATAGATGAATACGTACACAGGATCGGCAGGACCGGTCGTGTCGGCAACAGAGGAAAAGCTGTTTCCTTCTTTGACTCTGACCAGGTAAGCTTCTACAGGGTGTTAGGTAAATGGGTAAATGAGCCGACACTAGCCCATGTTAACATGGGCATATAAATGGTATGGTGAAGTCAGAAAATTGATATCTTTATTTTAATTTTCATACAAATTTCAATAACATGGGCTAGTGTCGGCTCATATACCCATTTACCTAAAACCCTGTATACATATTATTATTCAACTGCATTGGAACTAGTTTCTAGTCTAGAGTTCAGGGTTTGCTGTCTAATCCCATGGTATTTGTCTTATCTAAGGACGTGTTGTGTTGATCAATAGCCAAAATATCAACCGAGGAAAAAAACATTAAAGTAGCTGCAACGGGGGAAAACTGTCGATGCAAAAACCCTCTCACCTTCCCATGGCTTTACCTCCTTTCGGTTATACTGTACGAATCCCGGGAGATTGATTACTCCCAACTGTTCCTACTATTCTTGTAAAATAGCATCTACATATTTCAACCAAATAAACGACTTCTGGATGTGTAAGTTCGTAACGCGGTAATTGATTTCAGGACAACGCACTGGCAGCGGATCTGGCCAAGATCCTGCGGCAGGCCGAGCAAGACGTGCCTGACTTCCTGCAGACCACAGGCACCGCTACCTACAAGGGCAACAAGTATGGCGGCAGCGATATCAGGGTAAGTGGACAACTCAGGCCGCTACCAACCGGTAAATATGGCCTATATCAGAGTAAATACGAATGAGTAGGTTTTCTTCATGGAAACGCACCGAGCGCGGTTTGTATGTGAGCGCGCCAATACGTATGCGGCGCGCAGGCACACACTGAAAAAATTTAGATAACCTACTCATTTGTATTTACTTTGCCTATATTCAACGGTGGACGTCCTGTGGCTGAAGTGATGATGATGAACAAATTGACTGCTACGACAATGGATGATGTTTCAATCGCATTTACAATGGATTAGGGTAGTACTGGGCAATGGACGACGCTACAAGTTATTTGACAAAACACCCTTTTTTACGTCGGGAGATCCGTTGAGCAGGGTGGGGCTTACCCAATAAAACTCGACGGTATACACCCGAGTCCAATGAAGGACAAAACACTACTTGAGCGCCCTTATGAATATTACTTCAAAGGCCAATTGCAACTTCTCGCTCGGTATCACTTCGGCGTTGAAATAGAAATGCTAGTTAAAAATTCAATAAAAATAACGGTCCGACTACACAGCGATGACATGGTTGCATTACCTGTATTTATCGGGAATGTTTTATTTGTACAATGAATGCTAATTCAGACACTTAAAAAGTAAGCGTTTGCATTACATAAATGATTGCATCAAACTTAAGTGCGCACATAAATTATACTTAAGCAGGATTCTTGCAAAACTTAACGTTTTGTTTGTTTCCCATGCTTTCTAAAGGGAGGTGAATTTTCGCAGGTATGATTTATCTTAAAAATACTTTAAGGCAATTCATTTTGTAGTCCCATGTGTAGTTTTTATACATCATCATCATCATTTTCAGCCATAGGACGTCCACTGATGAACATAGGTCTCCCCCAATGATTTCCACAATGGCCAATTGGTAGCGGCCTGCATCCAGCGCCTTCCCGCTACCTTTATGAGGTCGTCGGTCCACCTTGTGGGTGGACGTCCTACGCTGCGCTTTCCGGTACAAGGCCTCCACTCCAGAACCTTGCTGCCCCATCTGCATGTTTTATACATACCTAAACAGTTTGACGTAGTTTCTATAGTCTGGTCCGGGAGCACATAGAATTTTGTCCAATGACCCCAAGCTACCCATCCTTATCGCTCGCGCGTAATTATGTTGCTGTCGCGCTCGCACACTCACTGCGGGCGCCCGTCGCACAGTCGCGACAGCAATATAATAANTACCCATCCTTATCGCTCGCGCGTAATTATGTTGCTGTCGCGCTCGCACACTCACTGCGGGCGCCCGTCGCACAGTCGCGACAGCAATATAATAACGCGCGAGCGATAAGGATGGGTAGCTTGGGGTCATTGGACAAAATTCTATGTGCTCCCGGACCAGACTATAGACATATTCGTAGTTTTTAGAGATGTTACAAGTTTTTAATACAAGCATTTGATTTCAGAACTTCAACAACGCCGCTTCCAGTGTAGATCAAGGCCAAGAGCCTGAGGAAGAATGGTAAACTTATGGACCTCTTGAAATTACACCACTTGGTATACCAGTGAACGACCGTTTGATTGTAGTGCAACACGTGGTGTGTGTATATCAATGGTGCTTATGCTGTGAACCTGTGACACTGTGGACTATTCATACAGAACTAGATCCATAAAATCATCTCAAGTGACATTGCGCAAATATCAAACTCCACTAACCAATCGTCATCAACGTAAGACTGGAAACCTAACCTTTGACCTAGTATTCTAGATTTAAGAATTAAATATAAGAAACCCCCTACCTTATCCATTTTTTTTTACCAATTGCATAAGTCCCTTTGGTTATACATCATTGTTGTACTTATATAAAATAATTTAACATTAATTAGTTAGTAAGTTCAATTAACATTTGTTTTTTTTTTATTTTTAACACAAAAGTGGTTGATTTAAGTTTCTTTTCTGTTATTTTTTTTTTTCATTGTGTGATGGAAATCAGGATTTATGTAGGCATTTGACAAAGGTTTGCTTTTATAAATGCTACACGAAAATCTGTGATGTAATGTTAAAGTTGCTCAGTTTAAATTTTAAAATAGTTACTACTCATAGGTTTATTTCGATAACTTGTAAGATATTACTTTACGTATTTTGTGAGCTTTAGACTCATTTTATTATCTTACTTACATGGAAAGCATTGCTTGTTCAGAATCTCTTATTATGTACAAAGTAAAACCACTGCGGACTAGGCCTGTGTTATATGGCCCAGGCAGCTATGTGCCTCGTACACTTACCCTCTGTACAAATTGGAACAAAACATTTGTGAATGTTTTAATTTTATAATCTGTGATGATTATTATAAGTAGAGATAGATTCGCATCATCTTTTGCCATAGGTATTGTTTAGTTCAAAACTAGTATTTAACTGAACATAAAAAATGTTTGCAAAGCAATGACAAAACGAATTAATTTGTACAAACTATTTGTACCAAGTCTAAATTCCAAATATGTATCGAGCATTATTAAAATATTGTTTGATAAAAAACTCATTTTGTTGTTAACATTACTTTATTAATAAAAGATTGAAATTGTCAATATATACTGTTTTCATCTTTACAAACCTCCCTGCATAGGTACTCCCTAAGATGAAAGTCAATGCACTTTTTCCACAACATCACACACAACACATAGTACTAATTTAAATCACCACACAGTATTACACTTCTTGAGCCGAAATTAATTTTAAAAACACTACATATACCTTTAGGTATTATGTAACCATGGGTCTGTTTCACCATTTCAAGTCCTTGATAGCCTTTTAGGCATTTGATACATCGGCACGTCACTTTATCCAATCGCAATGCACATCTCACACAGTACAATAATAATACTTTCTATTATTAATAATGTATCACCGTTGTCACTAAAAATATGCCTTTAGAATTTACTTTCTAGAACGTGGTTCAAGTAATAGTCGAAACTGCGTGAAAAATTGGGATCACACAGGGTCTTTTTTCGACCCTTTTCTGTTCCTTTTCATTTGATCTGTCAGTTTATAGCTGCACCATTTGCATCATCATCAGAATCTATAGTCTCGTAAGAAGCTGAAGGATTTCTTGTTATAAGGCATTTAACGACTCTGTAAACGAAAATAATCAAATCATTAGCAACAAGTTGTTTAGTAATCTTTAATATCCTGAACTTCTGACTTGGTGATCTAGCTTAAAATTAACCAATAATGAGGGCTATCGTCCTAGCGTTTACCAGTTGACGTCACTGTAAAGTAAGATCACTGTCACTTGCTAGTGGCGAAGAAGACTGGCGTCAACTGGTGAGCATTGAATCCATATCTGTGGTTTAAGCCGTAGGAGAAGGACTATATTTAAGTAGTTCTCAGGATGGCGTCATTGTAGAGTAGGGTAATGTCAATCGCTGGTAGTGCCAACGGTTATGTATAAAAAACTATAGCCCTCATTGCGTTAATACACATTATACTCACAGCATGCACATCAGCGAACTAGCGTAAATAACTGCTGAGAGCACCAAAAATGCTCCAGGGAAAGTTGAGACGGTCAGCTCGTACAATCCGTTGTAGACGAGTGGCGACACAAGAGGACAGAAGGACTCTGCGAATCCCAACAATCCGAAAGCCTTTGCAATTTCTTGACTGGGCAATGTTTTTGTTAGGAATGACCTGGTCAGCGGTCCGTACACCGAACCGAAGAATGCGACTGCGGAACCTGAAACAAATAATTGATTATCAAGGAGGTTTACCGCTCGAGAGCACTCAATGACTCATGAAAAAGTCGGTCTAAAAGAAAGCTAGTGAATCATGCCAAAGAGTATATTGAACCTAAAGACATAAAACAGGTGATTCCCGTTCAAGTGCATGTTACGGAGTATCTAATGTAATCTGTGGCATTGTCACTATGAATTAACAGGCAGAAGAAACAATCGTATCTTTAACGGCAAAAAGTGCAGAGTGCAATAGCTTGTCGAAGTATAAAGAAACTTACCGAAGTACATAACCGACGTGGTGGTTGCACATGATTTTATGACATACTCCACGGCACACGAGAGTAACGATACCACAGTAAAAGTCAAGTCGCTGATATGCAGCCATTTCTGAATGCAAGCAACACCGACGAAGGAACCTATAAACCACATCGCGGTGCTGGTGGACGAAAACGTCGTGTAGTCTTTCATTGTCCATGCTAAATGCTTCCTTGTGTACAGGTATAGAAGACCAAATGTCCCGTAAACGGTGAATGCAGCGAAAACCGAGGCGGCTATAGTTAGAAGTAGTATAGCTCTCCCATAGTTTGGTTTCTTCTTGAAAGATACGGTTATCATTTCTTGTACATGTGAGCAATTTAGAACCGAAAAAATGCTCCCCTGAAACAAAACATGACTGTCCATTAGGGTGGAAAAGTTATATATGTCGGAGCGTCGGGCTCTCGGACGGCACCAGAAGGGTCTCTCATTGAATTCATACTATCTACCTATGTGGGCGTATAGGGAACACGTGCGAGTGGATACNATAAATTATTCAGTAACTTACTCGTACTTGCAGTAATGAGTCAAGTAATTTTGTAAGTAGTGTATCTAGAAGAAAAAGTAGGTAAGGAAAGGGGTTAAAGTGATGGAAGACCTTTGTTTTATAATAGCGCAAAGCCGCAAGGCACTTTTATAATTTAAGCCTAGGTAGGTACTTACTTTACTTATAATGGAATGCTAAGATGCACTTATCAAGAGGTCTGCAGACTCTTTGTTTGGCCGAAACTATTAAGTAAGTAAGTAGGTAACTAGCTAATCAGACATTCAAGTAAGTATTAACTGACAAAGCTTTTAATGAAATGGACCACGCCACAGGGCAATTACTAATTGTCTGTTTAAATTTTTAAACAGCCTTGTTTTTCTTCAGCACAATAAGTACTTAGGTTTTTGTATTTTCATTCTCCTTCAAGATTAACAAAAACTCATTCTTGCTGCTGCTGCTGAGCTGTTAGGTTATAATAAACCGTGTTTACTTACCTACTTACTTATTCATTTTCAACATACAATATGGGTAGAGAAGAAAAATGCATTCAGGTTACTTATTTTGCAACACTAGTTATAATAGCGCCTAGGCCGTTTTGAATGACAGTTTGATCTAAATGGCTTGGCTGCAACATCGCTCACATTTTATTTCAAGTTTAACTAAGGCGTCCTATAGGTAAACTCCGCTAAGCCATTTCCAATGTAAAAAAAGACTGCTGTTTTCCTTCACATGTCAGCCTTCTGCACTGCTCCGCCGCCGTAGGAACCTACTCAGTGAGGCCCGTTTTCCACCAAAGTGAAAAGGAGAAGAGAAATCTTCTCTAATCTAAGTATCAGATTTCCGAACCGAAGCTAAGGTGATGTGGAAATAACGAAATCTAATTGGTCATTCAAACACATCCCCTATTCTTTGTGCTTTGGTGTAAACCAGGCCGTAATCGCTATAGGTATGTGTACTAAAACAACCTAAGTAACGCCCGTATTCACAAATGTTACTATGAGGTCTCACAGTGCGCGTTAATGTACAGGGTGACACACGAACCAATCACAAAGCTCTATTCAACGCTGTGTGTTTGATTTTTGTGAATAGAGACTTACTTATGTTACTTCTAGCGCGAAATAAATGCAGTGTGCCAGAAGCAAAATATCCGTAAAAAAGTCTAAAATCAAAATGTGCAAAGGTGCAAGCTAATATAACTTCTTTATTATTAACAGAATACCGGAACTGTGGTGCGAGGGGCCAAAAGGGGTCAGTTCAACGTGTTCATGCGGCCCATCGCCGGGATCCCTGCCACGCAAAATCTACGAACAACGCTAACACCACTGCTGTGGATTGAAGAGGTCAGTATTTAGAATAATAAGTTCCCATACTGTTTACTTACGTGCCGTTCGTCTCATTCACAGATTTAGATTAGCCTAATCCGTGGTCTCATTGATTTGAATGAAAAATGCCGCTCTCGATTTGCGTCTTTCCACTTCATTTCAATCAGCGGCCAGAGCAGCCTGATATCGAGCTTTCAATGTCTAACCTAACTAAGAAATACAATAAGTGAGTTTAGACTAAATGTAAACTAGGTACCTACCTGGGTAGCGATCCCAGATAAACTCGAATATCTGAGGATCTGTCAAACCACTGGACGTCTTGCCATATACTTAATTTTAACGTGCCAAGAATAATTATAGTTAGATTCAAACGAGTCTCGAACTCGCTTGATAGAGAAGAATGTATGACCTAATGTGCAAGCGCAGTTTTAAGGAGCAAGGAGCGATAAATGAACGTTTTGTTCAATATTCCCCGTTAACGTTAAATTGGAACTTTTAATGGGGAATAATGAACTAAAAAGTTCATTAATCCCCGTTATACTTATTAGGATTTTATTTTGAACGTAATGGGGATTAATGAACTTTTTAGTTCATTATTCCCTTTCATTAATGAACTTTTTAGTTCATTATTCCCCATTATAATTTCCAATTTAAAGTTAACGGGGAATAGTGAACAAAAAGTTCACTTATCCCCGTTGACGGGGATTGTCAACGGGGAATACTTAGTGGAATAAGCCGTTAGCTGTAGGGTTATTATGTTTTTAATAGGGGTTCCGTTTCTAAATTATCTTTCACCAAATACATACGCTCGTGTTTATCTTTCCTAACCTAACATTGCATACTTATTTCTCAGGGTATCCAACTGACGGAAGAGTTCACCGACCGGCTGTCCTCTGACCTGCTGTCAACGCTGAGCCTAGTGAACATCCTGGTGCCGGTGGCGGTGGCCCTCAGCGCCGCGGTCCTGCTGACCGGAATCACCATCATCGCTTGCGTGTGTTGCAAGAGCAAAAAAGCCTGACTGAATAAACCATTATAGATTTTTCTTAAGACTTTCATTTCTTTGTGATCAAGTACCTTTAGCTTACTACCCCCATATAAAAACTGCGAGTGTAATTTATCACGAAGTCAGGTTCTTAGCCGCCTATTCTCTACATCTCGATAATCGACTATAGGTACCTACATGAACTATACCTGCCCCCCTAGTAAAGTTGCACAGAACTCCATACAAAAAACATAAGGGTCCCGTTTTTTGCCATTTGGCTACGGAACCCTAAAAAGGCCTTTCGACCATTTTTCGAGTGGTTTGCGATTATATTGCACTTTGTCTACTAGACCCACTGCAGCACTGGCCAACTCATGATTTTGAAGATTCAATATCTTCAGGTCAAAATAAAAAATGATTTAGCTGTGGTAAGCCATTTCCTCGTAACGAACTCATATTGAATTTTGTTTTGTGTACCTACACTGAAAAATAGTATACTCGCTACATATATTTGTGCAAAATGTGTAATATTGGATTTTATGGCCAATCTTTTATACCCTGTATTATAGTGCTACAAAAATTTTAAGTTGTTTATTATAGCTGTAATTACAAAATAAAATAAATGTAGGTGTTAGTTCATGTTACTTTGTTGTGTATTATATTCTCTGAGCTCTGAGAAAAGTAATTTTAATAAAAGACAGAAATTCAACATTGAGCTTTATTTAAGAATTAATGTTGTTTACGTCCATTCATATAAACAAAATTAAATCAATACACACAAGCTAAGAATTACTTGTGTCAATTTAGAAAATAATAAGTCTTCTTTTTAAAAATATTTCATCACATAGTACCGAGGCTGATAATGGGGTTTTTAGTCTTTCTTTTATTGGACTAGAAAAAAACAATAGCTAATGCATTGAGATTTCATAATATTATGTTAATATTGACTACTCAAAATATCTAATGTAAGTATAAAAATAGTTAACAAATGAACCAAACTCAAAATACACAATCCACGCAGACCGCGTTATCAGCCCCTCGGACAGTACTCTCAACATAAAAACACTCTGAAATTAAAATTAATTATATTTTTATCTTAATTCCACATAATTTTTGAGATAAAATACGTATTATTATTAATATTACATACACTTATATATTATGCATAAATTACAAATAAGTTTCTCATAAACTGAAGTCGTCTGCGGATATTTCATTTTAAATCAGACGAGGTCGTTTCCACGAAATTAATTGGTATAATGCTTTTAAAGGAACTGTCTAACGAAAACGTTAAAACTATGTAATGAATTTTTATTTACATACATTTGAAGAGCCGCTATAAGCAGCAGAGAGCATCTACATCGATTTTACGAAGTAATGTACTTATTGGTACTACTGCTAACACACATTAAGAATATTTAACTTGGACTATCTTGTGCAAAGCGCAAGTAGAAAATGAAGGAGATTGGCACACTAAATCAGCAGTGAGTGCAAGTTGAAACAATATGCAGCCAATTGTGGGGCCACAAGAAATCAATACATCTCATAAACATTACTATTATTAAATGGTAATAAATTATTTGTAATTGAATTGCATAATATATATCAATTATTAAAATCAATTTAAACTGTGATATTGAAAATGTATTTTTCTACATCATACATAACATATTCTGTACATTAAAGTATACCACTACTCATTGTATTAATTATACATGAAATAATGTAAATGTCGATTATTTCGAAAGGGGGAGTGAGATATCGACTGAATTCATTTAATTTTAATAAAAATAAGTAATATTTAGAAGATTCAACTAATATGTACTGCAAGGGCTGTTGCAAACAATCATTAAATAAATCCAGTCCTTACAGTGATAAAGATAATTTAACTAAAATAATATGTACAAACGCTAGTTTCAGTAAGGTTCAGGAATTTTTAAGGCCAGAGTTCACCAACAGACAAAGAGCAGTTTTAAAAATTTGTTTTTTTTTCTTCTATCGTTTACTCTCCCCACTAACTACTGTTTACGGACAAATAGTGTTTCAATTTTAACAGTCTGTCGGTGAACTCCGGCCGAAAAAGGGCTATATACAAAATATTTACAGGGTACAACTTAAAAAAATATAGAGTTACTCGTCCAAATGGCGTTTGTCGTCGTTGTTGCGCTTCCGTCCCTTGGCGTGCGCCAGCATCGTGACCAGCTTCTTGTGGCTGTCGCCGACAATCCAGCCGTGCTGCGGCATATGGTCGGGCTCGTCGCCGCCCGGCGCCCAGTACGAGCCGGCGCGCGCGCGCGGCCGCACCGCCGACCCGGCCGAGCCGCCCGGCGCGCTGGGGGCGCCCGGCCCGCCCAGCACGGCCGACGCCCGCAGCGGGCCCTGCTGCCTCGCTCGGGCCCTCGCCCGGGTCCTCGTCGCCGCTGCCGGCGTGCTCCTCCCGCTCGCGCGCGCCCGCAGCACGACCGCCCTCCTGCCTCTTGGCCGCGCCCTGGCGCCCGCTGCCGCGCCGAGAAGAAGGAGGGTTCTTCTTGCCTCTCTTCTTCCTACCTTCCTTCGCCACCATCACCGAGTCGGCGCTGCTAGGCCGCGGAGGCCCGCCGTCCGGCTCGGACTCGGAACTCCAAAACTCATACAGCACGTTTTGCTTTCCGACTGTGCACTTGCGGCGAGGTCTAGCCACACCCGCCTCGTCTATATCCTGTTCAGCGCTATAATCGTAGCTTGTGCTTATTCCCTCGTCGAGCTTACTCGCAGGTGAGATCGAAACGTCCGCATAAGCCTTATAATCATCTTCATGTTTAGATGCCGAAGTGTCATTCCGTTTTTTATTTTTTGTTTCGTGACGCTTCACCCTCTCGTCGTATCTCTTTGAGGATTCAGATTCATAACTCGTCGGTGATAATTCTTCATAATCGTTCGGCGAAGGGTTGTCATATTTCTTGGAAGTACTTGGTCCGTAATTGATCACGGAATCATCATATTTTTTGGAAGTGGAGGGACTTAAATTAATATCAGACATGTCAAGTTTTTTGGAAATGTGTTCTTTGAGAGGAGAAGAGGTTCGACGTTTAGATAGGGTAGCTGAAGACATCATATCAGTTTTATTAGGTGAGGACGAACATGATCCTTGTGGAGACACGAAGTTATCGTCAGTCAATGTATACGGATTTTCGGGTGACGTATCATATTTTGATAAATGACCGTACTTTGATGTCGACGGCTCCTCGCCCTTAGGAGAAAGTGCGTCGCTATTCAGCATGGACGAGCTTGGTTCTTCCTCTAACAAACTGTCGAATAATTGATCGAGATTAGCCTTTGGCTTTGCAGGTTCTTTGATGGCAACTGGCTTTTTCTCAGTTCGGACTGCATGTTTGAATATTTTGCCCATGACAGCATTTTTCTCGACCACGTCTTTTCTTTTCTGGGGGGATATTTTCTTGACGTCTGTTCCAATCTTCACATTGCTCATTTCACAAGACATCAAACTGTTCTCGGTCTCATCGTCGCTGCAAACGTAGTCATCGGACATGTACACAAAGTCATCACCATCAGAACCACTTTCACTGGAATTGTCGTCGTCAACAACGGTATTGAATTTTGTAACTACTGGCGTGTCTTTGTTGTTATTACTAATACTTTTGAACCTTTCCATCAGAGTAGATGGTCTGAACTCAAACAACTCGGCATCTTCGTTGTCCATGAATTCATAGACATCCACCTTTTTATTATGACTTGTGTTGTCTTTAGCCCGATGGTCACTGTCGTATTTACTGCTAGATTCAGAATCCTTCTTGTCTCTCCTCTTCTTAGAACCTGATTTCTTTTTCCTTTTAGGTGAACTTTCAGAGACGGGCACAATTCCAGACATATTAATGTCTGAAGTTGGAATAGACACTTTTATACCATCAAAACCTTTTAGAGCCCCTTTTGTGGGCACCTGCGTATTTTGATACCTTGCCTTTTTAGAACTCCTTCTGCCTTTTTTCTTTTCTGGCTTCTTTCTTCCTTTGAAGCTATAACAGAAAACATTTTTATTAATATCACATTTAAAATGTATGGACAAAAAAAAACATGTGTATATGTTACGGTAAGTGGACCAGCGCTGAGAAAAAGCAGCGCAAGAAACTCAGTCACTATTGTCAACCTCCTTTTCAAGGGTTTACAGTCTATAAAATATACAAATTATAGACAGTCGAGGTAAAAGTGATAAATGAATCACATTTATCAGTGATTGTTTAATAAATTGTAACCTTAATACTTACAAATATCATAAAAGAGAATACCGGCTCGTACAGCCACACATTTTGAACGTTTTGATATCTTAATCAAATTATATTAATATAATTTGGCATAATGAGTTTGGACTATTTTTTGCGTAATATTACTTTGCCATAATGCCCATAATTTAAAGTGAAAAATAGGTTAAGGTGCGGCGGGGGTGGCCCGCCTATTTAGTTTTAAACACACATAAATGATCTCATATTAATCAAATTTACCTAATGATGAGGTAATTTTTTATAATAACCGGTAATTAGTTATTTAAAATTTTCACATTTATCACATTTACCGTAACATATATTCAAAATAACTAAAAATATACACACCTAGTTACTGGTTCTATCACAGGTTGTGGTTGTTTCGCTGCAGCAGCTTGAGATCTACATTTTCTTTTGATTTTATCAAATTTATCTTCGAACATGTCAATATCTTCAATAATATCAGGATACATTTTTTCTTTTATTTCGATGTACTTTTTCACTTTCGTCGTTTTGGTTTTAGCTGGTACTTCGAATTCTTCGATATTATTGTAGTGACAATCAGAATTGATCGGACTGGATAATTTTTCTTCAGTGTCTTTAAACCCAGGCGCGTGCAATTCGTTCATGTCTTCCTGATCTTCTCGAGTGTCTATGAGCTCCTGTGCTGGTTGTGTCTGCTCCGTATGAACCATTTGATCTTGAAGCTCTGGATTAAATTGCACGACTTCATTTGGTATCACGTCTTGGACCATTGTAAAGTCACAAACTTCATCTTGGATTATCTTAGGTCCCATAGTCCCA